GTCACACTCAGTCTGTATGCTGACCCTGTCCTTGGAGTGTCTGTTGGGGACAGTGTCAAAGAACAGAATTTTCAAGTACAGAAGAGGCCATTTGACCCATTGTGTCTGTACAGGTTCCCGAAAGAGCTAACCAGCTAGTCCCACTCTCCAGCCCAATCTCCATAGCCCTGTTACTTCTTCATTTTCAAATATGTATCCGGCTCTCTCTTCAAACCTCCTATGGAATCCACCTCCACCATTCTCCCAGGCAGTACATTCCAAATCCTAACAACTCTGAGTAAAGAAGTTGCTCCTCATCTCACTCCTTGCTCCCTTGCTGACAATCTTAAGTTAGTTGCGACCCCTAGTTACTGACTTACTAACTAATGGAAACAGAATATCTTTCTTTATGCTGTCAAAATTGTTTATAATTTTGAACACCTTAGTATGTTCACCTCTTCATCTTGCTCCAAGGAAAATCAGCTCAATTTCTCCAAACTTTCCTTATATCTAAAATCCCTCATTCCTGGTATCATTCTAGTAAATCTCCTTTGAGCTTTCTCCGGTGCTTTAACGTCCTTCCTTAAATAAGCTGCCCAGAACTGAACACAATACTCCAAATGTACTCTGACCAATGATTTGTAGAGGTGTAGGATCATTTCCTTGCTTTTATACTCTGTGCCTCTATTTATAAACTCAAGGATCCTATAAGCTTTCTTAACTGTTTCAACTTGCCTGGCCACCTTTAGAGATTCTGATCTTGTATTCCCCTCAAAGTTGTACCATCAAGCCCATATTGACTCTCCATGTTCTTCTACCAAAATGCATTGCCTCACGTGTCTCTATGTTGAAATTCATCTGCCCATTTGGCCAATTTGTCAATGTCCCTGTGAAGTCATTCAGTATCATCCTCACGATTCACTATCCTTTCTAATTTAGTATCAACTGCAAATTTAGAGATTTTGTCCTCTACACCAATCTCCAAATTGTTTGTGTAAATCAGAAAAAGCAGGGGTCCCAACCACTGATCTCTGGAGAGCACTACTCTCAACATGTTCTCCATCTGAGAAATGCCCATCTATACCTACCCTCTGTTTCCTATCTTTTAGCCAATTTCTAATCCATGCTGCCAAGGACCTATCAATCCCAAACATTTCTAATTTTATAACAAACCTGCCGTGCGGTGTTATATTAAATGCTTTCTGAAAGTCCAAATATATAACATCCACGGGACTACCCTCATCCACTGCCTGTGTCACCTTGTCAAAGTATTTGTCAGACATGACCTGCCCATGACAAAGCCAAGTTGACTGGTATTATTTTTCTCTTTTCTCTAAGTGTATATTTACATTATCCCATATTATGGCTTCCATCAGTTTTCCTGACAGCTTTGTAGTTTCCTGGGCTATTCTTTGACCCTTTTCTTAAACAGCAGTGTCACGTTTACAATCTCCACTCCCCTGGGACTACTCCTGTGTTCAGAGAGGCCTGGAAAATTTCAGTCAACAGCTCTGCAATTTGCTCCTTTACCCCTTTCAGCAATCTAGGATGCATTCCATCAGTCCTGAGGAAGGGTCATCGGACCCGAAACGTTAACTCTGATTTTTTTTCTTCACAGATGCTGCCAGACCTGCTGAGCTTTTCCAGCAACTTCTGTTCTTGCATCCCATCCAAACCTGGTGACTTCTCAGCTGGAGTACTGCCAGCCTTTTTTTTAGCATCTCTTCTTCATCTATCACTATTCTGTTCAGTTGCTCAGCATCTACATTTTCATTATCATCATCATCATCATCTAACTTAGTAAAGACAGAAGCAACGTACTTATTTAGTACCTCTGCCATACCCTTTGCTTCAATGAGCCGCTCACCCTACTTCTTCTTTATGAGCCCCACACTCTCCTTAACTAATCTTTTACCATTAATATGTTTGAAGAATATTTTACTACTTGTTTTAGTGCAGCCCACCTTATTCCAGCCTTAGTCTCTCCTGCATTTGAGATATTCTCGCTGATTTCTATTGCTGTTATTATTCCAGTGTGCACCCTGTGCTAGCTTCTGCTTCTTTATTTTCTCATCAATATCCTTAATCACCCAGAGTACGCTAGGTGTAAATACCCCGTGTTTATTTCTCTCGGGTGTGTATCTAGCTTGTACCCTATTCATTTCCTTTTTGAAATCTCCCATTTTCATCCACTGTTTATCCACCAAAATGCATTTCCAATCAACGTGCTCCAATTCCACTTGCAGACCCATAAAATCTACCGTTTTCCAGTCTGGGATCTTAAACGTTGACTGTTGAGGGAGCTTTACTCTGTGTCGAACCGCATGCTGCCCCAAACCTAGGAGTGTTTGATGGGAACATTGGAATGAGCTTTACTCACAGTTTATAAAAGTAGGGAAGGATTCATTCTGGATAGTGGAGGCAGTCAGTCACACCTGGCGTGACATTGTCAATCGAAGAGATGGGGCAAGTGAGAAAAATATTAATATATAAAATAATAAAAGGACCATGACAGAGAAGGATAGTGACAACAAAACTAAGAATAAATTAGCAGATTAAGCTGCAATTTGCATAAATAAACAGGTTCTGTACTTTCACTGGACCAGCATTTATTGTCCGTCCCTAGTTGCCCTTGGTGGTGGTGACCTGCCTTCTTGAACCACTGCAGTCCATGTGCTGTAGGTTGACCCACAAACCCCTAAGGGGGAAATTCCAGGATTTTGATCAGGTGACAGTGAAGGAATGGCAATACATTTCCATCAGGGGCTTGGAGGGGAACTTGCAGGGGATGGTGTTCCAATATATCTGCTGCCCTTGTCCTTCTAGATGGAAGTGGTTGTGGGTTTGATTGGAAAACAGCCAATGTGACGTCACTGTTCAAAAAAGCAGATAGACAAAAGATGGGGAATTATAGACTGGTTACCTTAACTTCTGCAGTGGGAAAAATGCTTGAATCTATCATCAAGGAAGAAATAGCAAGACATCTAGACAGAAATTGTCCCATTGGCAGACACAGCATTGGTTCATGAAAGGCAGGTCATGCTTGACTAACTTACAGGAATTCTATAAAGACATTACAAGCGTGGTGGACAACAGGATTGGTTAACTAACAAGAAGCAAAGAGTAGGGATAAATGAATGCTTTTCTGGTTGGTAATCAATAGACTAGTGGTGTTTCTCAGGGATCAGTGTTGAGACTACAATTGTTTATAACTTACATAGATGATTTGGAGTTGGGGACCACATGTAGTGTGTCAAAGTTTGCAGATGGCACTAAGAGGAGTGGAAGAGCTAAGTGTGCAGAGGACTCTGAAAGTTTGCAGAGGGATAAAAATAGTTTAAGTGAGTGGGCGAAGGTCTGGCAGAAGGAGTACAAAGTTGATAAATCTGAAGTCATCCATTTAGGTAGGAATAACCGTAAAAAAGATTATTACTTGAATGGGAAAAAAATTGCAGCATGCTGCTGTGCAGAGGGACCTGGGTGTCCTTGTGCATGAATCACAAAACGTTGGTTTGCAGGTGTAGCAGGTAATTAAGAAGGCAAATGGAATATTGTCCTTCATTGCTAGAGGGATGGAGTTTAAAAGCAGGGAGGTTATGCTGCAGAGATGGTAGGAACTGCAGATGCTGGAGAATCTGAGATAACAAGGTGTAGAGCTGGATGAACACAGCAGGCCAAGCAGTATCAGAGGAACCATGCTGCTTGGCCTGCTGTGTTCACGAGGTTATGCTGCAGCTGTATAGGGTGCTGGTGAGGCCACACCTAGAGTGCTGTGTACAGTTTTGGTCTCCTTACTTGAGAAAGGATGCACTGGCAGTGGAGGGGGTACAGAGGAGCTTCACTAGGTTGATTCCAGAATTGAGAGGGTTGGCTTATGAGGAAAGGCTGAATAGACTGGGCTTATATTCATTGGAATTCAGAAGAATCTTATAGAAACATATAAAATTATGAAGTGAATAGATAATAGAAGAAGGGAAGTTGTTTCCACTGGATGGTGAAACTAGAACAAGAAGGCACTGCCTCAAAATAAGGGGGAACAGATTGAGGACTGAGTTGAGAAGCAATGTCTTCATCCCAAGGGTTGTGAATCTGTGGAATTCCCTGCCTAGTGAAGTAGTTGAGGCTTCTTCATTGAATGTTTTTAAAGCTTAGATAGATCAGTTTTCGAATAGCAAAGGAATTAAGGGTTACAGTGAGAGGGTGGGTAAGTGGAACTGAGGCCATGGAAAGATCAGTCATGATCTTATTGAGTGGCGGAGTGGGCTCAAAGGGCCAGATGGTTTACTCCTGCCGTTGGTTCTTATGGCCTACGTATGATTCCAGACCCACAGTGATGTAGTTGTCTCTTAACTGCCATCTGGGCAATTAGGGACGGGCAATAAATGCTGCCTAGCCAGTGACGCCCTCATCCCACGTATGAGTAAAAAAAGGTATGACTTCATCCACCAGAGAGTTTGCCCCCTGATACCAATTAATTCCAGTTTTGCCAGGGGTCTTTGATGCCACACTCAGTCGAATGCAGCCTTGATATCAAGGGCTGTCACCCTCACCTCACCTCTGGAGTAAAGCTCTTTTGTCCACGTTCGAACCAAGGCTGTAATGAGGTCAGGAGCTGAGTGGCCCTGGCAGCACCCAAACTGGGCGTCACTGAGCAGGTTATTGCTGAGCTGGTACTGCTTGATAGCACTGTTGGTGATGCCTTCATGTCAAACTGTGACCCCTCATTCTAAATTCTCCAACAAGATGAAACTTCCCCTTCATGTCCTCTTCCCCCTACAGAGATAAAAACAAAGATTTGCTGAAGATCTGAAACTGGAATCAGACCTTGAGCTGTACCTGCCCAGCAGTGTTTCAGAGCCTCAGTGAAGCAGAGCTGATCCTGTGGGTTACTGAGTGTGCTGGCTGCTTCCTGTAATTACTGCAGAAATGCCTGACATTCCAAATCCTCATCAGGGAAGATCATTATCTGGATCCACTTGGCAGTGTTTATTCCCCACACAGAAGAAAAACAGAGAGCCACGTATTTTGCACAGTTTTATTTTCTTGCCGTATGCCCGTCTTCCTCAAATATAGCTGAGGGATTACACTCAGTTTCTGCAGAGCCTTCACTCCAGGTTTTTGCCCTGGGGAATTAACATGGTCAATAATCAATATGGACCAGGTACCCGGGGGTTATGCCAATCCCAGTGGGTACAGGAGACAGGGGCAGGTGTTGCTGAGGGGTGAATTCAATGCACATTAACTAAGTCATGGTAAAGTAAAACCTCAAATAAGTCTGAATAAACAGATCAGGGCTGTTGGTAAGAGGTTGAAGGGAATGTATTTTATGTGAAAGGTTCAGTGATTTTGTGATAGTTCTGTTTGTGGATAATATTCCAGGTTTCATCTGTTGTCTACTGAAGGTGAGAGTGTCCCACAAGCCCCCTGGGATCCAGGACCCTCCCAATATGCAGCAAAGAGCCAGTGGGGTTGTCGTACAAGACCACGAGGAAGGGCTGAGTGACGTGGAAGTCCATAATGAGTTGTCTGTCATTGGGGCTGAGCACAGGAGCCTCCTGAACACCTTGTTCCTCCAAGCTCAGGAAAGCATGGTGTTTTATGCTGGAGATCTTCAATGGCATATTCGTAATCTTATTCAGCTGACTTGGAGTGTACAGAGGAGACAGACCTGTATTAAAACAAAGAGATTTCCAAGTTTGATGGATTTGTTTGAAATTTGTAACCTTCCCTCATCACTCCTGAAAATAGTATTGATCTCTCTCTGTTTATAGTTTAAAAACAGCGAGAGCAAGAAGGTGAGAATTTTCTCATTTCTGGGAAAAGCAGACTGTTATGGTCTAGAGATATGGATTCCTGAATGGATACTCTTCACCTGGAGCTGACTGGTCCAAAGCTAAGGCCAATCTGATGGCACACATTTGGGAGAGGTAATGGAATGACACAACAATAGGATACCAAATGAGGCTATTTGGTCCATTATGTCTGTACTGTCTCTTTGAAAGAGCTTTCTACTTCAATTCCAGTCCTTTCTCCTTCCCAACAGCCTGGTGATTTTTAATTTATGGATTTTTTAAATCCCCTTTCACATTTCATCATTAAATCTGATAACACCGCCCTTTCCGGCAGTGTGTTCCAAATCTTTAACTCCCCACGTTTATCTAACATTCTAATCTCCCCTTTGGATCTTTCACAAAGCCTCTTCAATGTGTGTGCCTATGGTCTCTGACCCTCCTGTTGTAAATGGTAACAATTCAGAAAGAGTTAGTGTTAAAGTTTCATTAAGCTACACTTGACCAATGATGTCCCATGGTCTCCGGGCAGAGAACAAGGTCTCAATGGGTATAGATGAGCCAGCTCTGGCTCCTAATGCCTGTAAAGGTGCTGAATCAGTTCACATAATTATCATCATGCAACAATGTGCACTCTGCTTTGCACACTCAGTGTCTCTCCTTGTTAGGACTCAAGAGGTTTAATCGTCTCTCACTGGGAATCGAACAGGGTCTTCAACCTTAGCCTTGAAAGGGTGATTGGGTGCAGCAAATGTTGTTGGTGTCCAGAGTAATGCAACACCTCCAGCCACTGGAGAAGGTCACAGCCCAATTAACGCACAGCAAGCTCCCACACAGCAACCTGATCATTTCAAGAAGATCACTTTCCAGAAAAATGGTGGTTGAGGGATAAACATTGGCTCCAGGACACTGTGTAGAACTCTCCCACACTTTGGATAGTATCAGTGGAAACTTTTACATCCACCCAAAAGAAAAGATGGTGTTCCAGTTAACAGCTCATCCCAAAAAAAAAGCAGCACCTTAGTAGCAATTGCTTAATATGCACTGCTCCCCCAGCACTGACCCTCCGACAGTGCGGTGCTCCCCCAGCACTGACCCTCCGACAGTGCGGCGCTCCCCCAGCACTGACCCTCCGACAGTGCGGCGCTCCCCCAGCACTGACCCTCCGACAGTGCGGCGCTCCCTCAGCACTGACCCTCCGACAGTGCGGCGCTCCCTCAGCAC